TCAACTTGGTCTTGTTTTATAGGTAATTACTAGGACTGTAACCTCACACAAACCGCATTTTGATATCTGCATTCTTTCGCCCTCTGTGGAAAAAGGGGCAGTACTTTTGGGACACCCTATGTATTTTATTTTTTACATTATTTACATCCTTTTTTTGTGCGTTAAATGGACATATTTCTGCCAAACAGCACTATGTGCATTATGACATGAGCCCTGAGACCCATAAGAATATATGCATAACAGGGCTCACGTCATAAAGCACTTAGTTCCGTTTAACAGAAATCCGTCCAAATGACTCTCTGAAGTAGTTGATCTTTCTTTTAAACCAACTTTGATTTTTGAATTTTGAGGATTTAGGTGCAAGATTTTCTTAGAACGTCAAAAACTTATCACAATGTGAGATCAAGCCTAACAAATTGGCAGACCTGCCCTCAGAAAAACTACAGTCCCTCACTGAGTTTTCAACTCATAATAGTGAAATTGTGTAGAACAAAGACAAAGGTACACAGGCAGCCCAAGAGGGGAATAGTAGAAACAACACAAGGAAACAGTGGAAGCAAGGCTAAAACACTTAAAAATACACAGGACGTTTCGATGTCTTGCGACACCATTATCAACCGCTAAAAAAGTACAAAAATATAAAAGAAATTAAAATTAAAAGAGACAAGCACGGTGTTACACGGTGTGTTCTTTTTTGTTTTTGCACTTTCTAGCGGTTGATAATGGTGTCGCAAGACACCGAAACGTCCCGTGTATTTTTATGTATTTTAGCCTTGGTTCCGCTGTTTCCTTGTTTTGCCTCTAAAATGGTGTACTTGCATTCTTCAATATTTGTATTTATTCTGTCAGAAGAGCCCTTGAAAAGAGGCTGAGCGGTCTTAGGCTGCAGTTGCATCTGATTCCTCAATTTTATAAAGATAAAATGTATTGCATTTAGCCAAAAGAAAGCAACGCAATTACAGTGTTTTCAAAATCCAGCAACTTCTTCTTCCCTTTTAAAAATACTCTTTTCGTGTACAGTATTAAAATTCAAACAACTATTTTCCTCTAAAATCAGCAATTTTTTTGGTGAGAAGTGGAAGATATTTACTAATCTGAGAGATTATTTAGATGATTATGAAGAAACAACATCTTCACAACACTGTAAATCGTGCTGGATCCTTTTTCCTAGATGCAATCCAAATGTATTAGTTACCAAATCGAATTTTTTGTTCAATTATATTTTTTGTTATTTCTCCCCTAAGAGGGCTTGATTCATTTCATTCCAAAGATTTCGAATATACCTAGTTTTTTTATTTTCCTAGAAGAAGTCTCTGTGATTTTTTCCTTCCTTTTCAAAAATAAAATAAAATAAGTTAAACTGTCGTCAAGAGATCAATTCATAAAGTAACACCTGGTAGTTATCTTTTGTACGAGATTTTCCTCCTGTTGCTATATAGTTTTGCCATTTATTTTTTGAAAGTTCAACTTTGATCTGAATTTATAGAATATCCAGGATGAAATTTGTTGATTGCCGTCTGCGATTCGTCTCTTTTAAGTACAGTGTTTGAAACAGAGTAACAAGGAGTATATATCTGTAGCAGTATTTACTCTTCGTTATCAGGGGAAGATTAGTAGGTCACATTTTACAAAAGGGAACCAAGTTTCATTTTTGAAAAAAATAATTTATGAGTGTTTAAGCTTGAATGGTGGCTCCTTCCTAATTCTTAAATTTCTGAAGTTCTCAAAAGAGATCGAAGGCCCAACAATGAATTCACTAGTTTTCTTTTCAAAGTACGGCCTTTGAAAGAGTACAGTTCTATAAAAATTTCTCTGAGTTTCAATAAAATGCAGCATAATTTACTAGCCAGGAAATAAACTCTCCAGTTTTTCTGCAAAATGCCAGCAAACGCACCTGTAGGATCATTCCATGCCACAAAACCAAGACAGAAAAATTTTCTTTTTTCTTTTCGTTTTCTCAGACAAGAAAGTTGGGCAATTTTCTTTGAGGCAATAATAAAGACAAATAAAAAAAGAGAGAAGGAAAAAAATGGAGTCAATCCTATCAAATGTTTCGGAAATATTCCTGAAAAAAAGGAACTTTCAATTTAAACGTCTCCTTGAAAGAAAAATGCCTAAATTTTGAGTGTTACTTGGATGCAATCATGTAATAGAAGTTGCTAAAATTTAAAAGAAGGTTGGTTTAAATATCCTTCTTCCATCGAAGTAATTAAATTTGAGAGATTGAGTCCCATCAAGTTTCCAAGGGAGCATTACGTTGCAAAATCCTGTGGTCTCACCAGAAACGCAGGATTTAAATTTTGGTAGGGCTTCTTCCATGAAAAAAAGATAAAGGTTGAAGCTTTCATTGCAGGTTGTAACGCACACCTTTTTTTTTTAAAAAAAAAAAAAAAAAAAACTTTAAAAATCATCATTGGCAGATATTTGCTGTTTTCTAATTGCATTCCAAAATTGTGTGAAACGTGTTCCATCTGAAACGCTCCCCAATTTATCAGGTGTTTCTCTTAGATAAATTCAATAAAGGTCAGCGTCAAACACTGAAACAGCAAAGTTTTTTTCTATCACTTTTAATTCTGGGATCCTACGTGCAGGAGTAAAAATTTTAAATTTTTAGTTGAGTTCACCTCTCACACCCAAAACAAAGAAATGCCTCTACCAAGCGGTATTAAGGAATGAAAACTCAAAAAATTCGCTTTTTCTTTAACTAAACAAGTGCCAAAATACTTAAATATCTTCTTCCAAATACTTGATATGCTTTTCCTTGACCCAGACTTACATGGAGAAGTGAGGAATAGGTACAAAGCGCCCTCATTTTTGTGGGTATGCAATATGCATGGTAGGATATCCTGCGTGGAAAGCCAGCCTCCATTACACTGACACCCTACTTGCCCACAACTTGGTACAAAATGCATATTTTGTGTGCCAAAGCTGGAGAAAGAACGTTCAATACCTACAGGATAACATATTGAAATTTCATCAAAATTCGTGCAATTTTTTTTTCGCGGTGTTGGGTGTTGCACAGCTCAACAATTCCTGTTATCATGAAATCACCCACATAGGAATCAATGGTCAAATCGCAAATTCCTCACACATGCAACATCTCCATTCCCTGAATTTTTGTGTGAAGTACCTAAGTTTTCCCCGTCGTCGCCAATTCCCGGACTTTCCCAGTTTTCCAAACTGCTGGCAACCCTGTATTTTGACACCTATGAACCTAAGAAAATTTATAGAATACTGATCCAAGAAAGTTAAAAAGCCCTGTAGGTGAATACTGGAGCTTATGCCACTGGTTGAAAAACAACTGTGAATCCTGACCTCACTGCTCTTTGCCCAGACGACTATTTGGAGTGTAGAATGTTCAGTTTTGTTTCCAAGAATATAATTGGGTAGAGCTTACTGAGAGCTGCTATTAAAGAAAAAATTGTACTGCCTAGCTAGAATAGAACCGAAGCTATTCAATTTGGAAGGTAAAATTGTGTTGTAACTTGAGGATTTTAGGTGAAATTCCACCCACCCATATTTTCAGCCCCTTTCCGCAATAGCAGCTTAGAATCTTTCATTCCTCAGTATCTCAGTTTTATAGCATCAGAAAGGGCAGCAAAATTAAAATGGAGTTGGGCAGGGCATGCGGCCAGGATGAAGGAGACCAATAGATTAACAATGTGGAAACCGGACGGCAAAAGGAACAAGGGCAGACAGCCGATAAGATGGAGCAATGAACTGGTGACCCAACTAGTGGAACCCAGGGGGAAGGATCGGGGACATTGGCACAACTTGGAGACAAGTGCAATTGCGAGGATGTCAACATTTTAAACAAACCTCTAGAACTCCAATTATCTATCCAACCTCCCGCAAGGGAGAGGCCAGGCCCCTAAGGGGTGTATTAGGCTTTTCTAATTCTAATTCGATCTCAGTTACAAAAGGATACTAAATTTTATTAATATCAGAGGGGGCTAAGAGACTATGATTGATGTGGCATCGAATTGCCTGATCATTTCTGTACTTGCTCTTCCACATAAATCAGGAGGAGCAGGTAATAGTTATTGAAAATTGAAAGAAAATAGTCTATGAATCATCACCATTGTAGGAAAAAAAACACCCTCTTTCTCTGCAACGACAGCGCCATTGGGATGAAGCACAGTAAAATTGAACAATTATTAACATCCACTGATTCCATGTTAGAAAATGAAATAAAAATTTACATCTAAATAGGTACTCTCGTAGTTTCTGATGGACAATTGAATCAATGTAAGAATTTGCAAGGTGACAAACATACTTGGACGTATTTATGCTACCAGGAACGATGCGCAAGTGGAAATATGATTGATGGGTGTGCTCGTTAGTTGTGGGCCATAAGAATGAATGGAAATTTAAAGGCGTCAACAGCAACAATACATACCGGGCACGACGGAAGATCAGTGGCGGGACTCTTTAACCAATGAGCCCTGTCCACAACGCTATTAGCACATGCCCGCGGTTCATGAGTTAGCATATTTTGGCACTTCGTTCCTTTTGATTTAATGAAAAATCCCGCTTTACCATTTTCTCAGAAGGAACTGTATCCACATTAACATTGCTTCTTATACGGCATGCGCGAGCACACCCCATCTTTCCACTTGCACATAGTTCTTTTTAGCATAAATACTTCCATTAGCATTAAATTTCATTTAATCATTCCCCGACTTCTTCAAAGGAAATTTCCAGACTTTTTTACAGTAACAAAAGGGCATTTAATTGATGAGATCAAAACGTTGGCACAACAACGCTATCGGCTGACCCGCTGCAGACCCAATTTTACGTTAAACCCCGCTCCACAAGAAATTCCCCTACCGTTGACGAAACTCCTTTTTTTTTGCCCAGATTTTTCCTGGTCGAGTTGCATTCCCTGACTTTTCCCGGTTGCTAGCAACCTTGAATTTGTGTTATCATACTTTGCATGAGCTTTGGTTCTACTCATGGGAGTGATGGATTTTACTTTTGCACAAAACAACACAGTTGAGTGATTCTCTCATTCTCTTTTAATTCGTAACAATACTTGAAAAATGTAAAAAAATGAAAATAACATCACATAACATAAAGGAACACAAGACAAGCAACAGTACTTAAGAAATAATCAAAGCAGACGATAAAGCATTTTCCGTTTTGTTGAGAATTTTCTTCATTATTAATATTCTTCGGCTCCTTCACCTTCACCTTCGACTGAGTCCATGCCAACTTCCTCGTAGTCCTTCTCAAGGGCAGCTAAGTCCTCGCGAGCTTCTGAGAATTCTCCTTCTTCCATACCTTCTCCCACGTACCAGTGAACAAAGGCGCGTTTTGCATACATCAGGTCGAACTTGTGGTCAAGACGGGCCCAAGCTTCAGCAATGGCGGTGGTGTTGGACAACATGCACACGGCTCTCTGGACCTTGGCAAGATCTCCACCCGGAACAACGGTAGGTGGTTGGTAGTTGATACCAACCTGATAACAGAAAAAAGGTTGGATTAGAAACAAATGGTACGCAGATACTTGAAGAGAATCAGAAACTTATCAACTTGGTTATCTCTGTCAATTTGATTAATTCAAGCCAATGAGTGTTCGCATGCCTTTGACTTGAAGTCATATGCACGTTACTGCTGTTGGCACCTCTCCAATTTTGAGTCTAGTCCAAAGATCTTTAAGGAACTTGTGAAAATGATATACTAGTGGTGTTAGATGCCAACTTTTAATAACTTGAAGGCACTTTTTCCAAACCTTCAGTTCTAAAAAATCATCTTACAGTGTTGATTTTGGGGTGAAATGTGCCCTCCTTAGATGGCCTGTATTCCTTCAATTTTGAATCTGATCCAAAGTTCATTAGGAACTTGAAGAAATGATACTTATACAAGTGGGGCTTGATACCAATTTTCAAAGAAAAATAGGCATTTGTTCAAAATTTAAAGTTATACCAAAAGAGCTCACAGTGTGAATTTTGGTATTTTGCTCATAATCTTGCTTTACCTCTAGCCTCTGCCCACCTCCCAAATTTTGCTGTTTGCAAAAATCACTTGACAAGCATCAGGGGACCATACATATATCTCATAGATATCTAGACCATTGATACCTTTCAAACAGCGAAGTTGTTCAATTTATGGAGGGAATGCTAAATTGAAAATTTGAAAAAAGCAAGGATGTAAAAGTAATTTGAAGCTACATTATTGGAATAGAATAAAAATTGGAAAAAATAAAAATGAGAGACCATAAAACCTAGACATACCTTGAACCCAGTGGGACACCAGTCAACGAATTGGATGGTTCTCTTGGTCTTGATGGTTGCGATAGCAGCATTGACGTCTTTGGGCACAACATCTCCTCGGTACAGCATACAACAGGCCATGTATTTACCGTGACGGGGGTCACACTTGACCATCTGGTTGGCAGGCTCAAAACAGGCATTGGTGATCTCAGCAACAGAAAGCTGTTCATGGTAAGCCTTTTCAGCAGAAATAACAGGGGCGTAGGTGACCAAAGGGAAGTGGATACGTGGGTATGGGACCAGGTTAGTCTGGAACTCAGTCAAGTCAACGTTAAGGGCACCATCGAATCGGAGGGAAGCTGTGATAGAGGAGACGATTTGACCAATGAGCCTGTTGAGGTTGGTGTATGTGGGGCGCTCAATGTCTAAGTTACGGCGGCAGATGTCGTAGATGGCTTCATTGTCGACCATAAAGGCGCAGTCGGAGTGTTCCAGGGTAGTGTGCGTGGTTAGGATGGAATTGTAGGGTTCAACAACAGCGGTAGATACCTAAGGGGGAAAAAAAATTGTCAGAATCAAATATTGGAGAAATCAACTGTTGGGTAGAGGGTAACAAGGTGATTCTTGTCTCTCTTGCAAGATCTGTAACAAAGTGTCTCGTCATTTAATGCAGGTTCAATTCTTCTAGAATCACCATTCAATCATTTTCCAGTAACAGACCTTGCAAGGGTTTTTCTTCATTCAGGCGATACTAGTAATGCTTGATGAGAATCAGCAGTCAAGCTCCGATGCCTTGGGTTGATTTTCTCACATACTTACCTACCTACAGCTTTCAAGCGATGTCTTCGCTCGTGATAGAGCGCCTGACAAACTGCCTACTGAAACTTGGCGTATTAAAAGGCATATGAGCCTCTTCTTAGCGGATACGAGAAATGCTTCCCTCCTAACAGCTAAATGTTGGCAGGAATAGGTCTGTAACCCATCCCAAAATGTTGGTAGGCGCTGATGTATATTATAATTTTTTGTACGTGCCGGCCGCCCATCCCTTGTTTCCCTTCAATTTCTTTTTTCAGCTTTGTGACAGTTGTTAGTGTTTCCTATCTTTCAAGAAAAAAATTCATGTCAGTTTTCAGAGGGACCTCTTTGATATATAAAACAAACCATTACACTGAAATTTAAGTGATGGTTGGTGTCTCTCAAGCAGAAAGTTGGAAAGTTTCGAAGAATTTTGCCTCCAGCTGTGGGCAAATTTCGGGAAAGTTGGGCCGTTTTCATATCACTTCTTTTAAGCGATAAATCAAAACGTATTCCAGGCCATTATGCTTTGAGGTATTTAATTTGTTCGGGGAAAAACTTTGGCATGTATATTGCATATCGCATGGGCATTGAGGGGGAAATTGAGCCGTTTTAATATCACCTACTTTTTAATGATGAATTCAAGCCGCAGAGCTACTGCATGTTCTTGGCATATTCTGTATTTAAATGATCTGAGTTTTTTGGGATTGGGCCGACATTTTGTACATTAATCTATTTTTGTTTTTTGCGGAAAGATATCTCGTCTTTTTGGTATGACTCACTATCAAGTCAGGAAATAAAAATATTTGCGGATATTTTCTTCTGTGAGGCTTTTAGTTGGTACCTACAAAATCAATCCATGATGTGCTCTTCAGAGAACATAGTCCCAATGATGACTCATATGATACTTGAAATACAGCTGTTAGATGTATGCCATTGCAGAGTAAGGCACTTTACGGGAAGCGACCTTCCTTCTCCCCTTATGGTCCCACATATGCCAAATCTTGCATTTAGGCTCATGTTAAAAGTGCAAGAGTTTGAGCCATTGCAGCAGTTCATATGGATGATTGGAGATTTTCAATCATCTAAGCTTGCCTGGCTTCATAACTTGGAATTTTCTTTTGTTTATATTGAAGCGACCTCCCTTCTCCCCTTACAGTCGCACCTACACCACACCTTGCGCTTCGCGTGCACTTCAGAAATACAAGTGTTTGTGCCATTGCGGCGTTTCATCAGAATGATTGGAGATGTTCAATCATCGGAGCATGCCTGGCTTCCCAACTTGGATTCTTTTAGAAACGGTTAGCGACTAAATTATTTTGTATCCTCTGCTACCATAAACTGATCGAGATTGAAGGATCGCAGCATTGGTAAGGAGATTACAATTCATCATTGCAAAGTAATAGTTTCTTCATAGCACAGGAACTTTGGAAATAGAGCTCTTGATTCGGCATTACAGCCGGTTCAATTCTCAAAACTCTTTACAAAGTTTCTTCCAAAGGTAAGGGCAAATGAATGGTATGACCGACCACTTTGGAATTCAAAAGAGAAGGTAGAAGGTTCTTCGCTAACACAGAGCCTGCTTTTGCGACAACTAGGGTTCCTTCCAGTAAACAATTTTCCTCATTTTTTTCAGTAGTGAAATATTCTTACGAATTGGTATGTTTGATCAGCTTTCAATTTTTTTAACTGAAAACATGCACGAGGGCTCAACATTTGGTGTCCCTCTGCACTGGCCATACATGTCATCAATACCAATCCTGACACTTGCCTCGTTTGCTAAGGATTCATCACTAATGACAAAAACAACTGCTTCCTCTCCGGAGCAATGGTTTGTTCCGCAGTGGAGTTTCTGTCGCAGCCTCTCAGTTCTATTGGCATTGGTCCTTGTCGAGTGGAAAACTCAAGTAAGCGCTCCATATCAGGACCCGCTTCATTTCTGTTTCCATTTTCGACTTTAACATCACCAAAAAGTGACTTACGGACTAACAACAACTCACCACTGTGCGGAAGAGGCAGCTGACCCCGAGGCACAGATCATCTGATGACCAAAACCTCATAAGTCTCGCCCACAATTTGATGGCCACTCTCAACATTAGGTTCCTTCCAGCTACACTTTTCCAAATTTTTTCCAGTAGTGAAATATTCTTCAGAGTAGCTATGTTTGATCAGCTTTCAATTTATTTGAACTGAAAACATGCACAAGGGCTCAACATTTGCTGTCGCTCTGCACTCGGCATCCATGTCATCAATAACAATGCTGACACCTGCCTCGTCTGCAAAGGATTAATCACTACCGACGAGAACAACTGCTACCTCTCGGAGTGCAATGAATGGTTTGTTCGACAATGGAATTTCTGTCGCAGCCTCTCAGTTCTACTGGCTTTGGTCCTTGTTAAGTGGAAAACTCAAATTATGTTACTGCATACTATTTCTGTAAAGAGCCTAGGACACAACTTACACAAGTACTGGTTTTGGCTTAGGAGGTAACTCAGCTTATGCTACTGCAAATTCTATGTGTAAAGAGTGTATAACTCAAATGACACAGGTGCAGATTTTAGCATTAAGAGGAAAAACTCACCTTATGCTAATGCACACAATTTCTCTGAAGAGCATAAAAATCAACAAACAAAAGTACAGATTTTGGCATAAAGAGGTAAAACTCAGCTCAGCTACTGCAGACAAATTGTGTCAAGAGTGTTACCTCAAATTACACACATAGATTTTGGCATAAAGTGATAACTCAGCTAATGCTACTGCAAATTCTTTGTGTAAAGAGGGTATTACTTAAATTACACGAGTGCAGATTTTGGCAGATAGTAAAACTCAGCTTATGCTACTGGAAATTATTTGTGTGAAGAGTGCAAAGCTCAAATTACACGAGTGCAGATTTTGGCATAAAGAAGTATAGCTCAACTTATGCTACTGCAAATTCTTGTGTGAAGAGTGTGGGACCCATCTTACACAAGTAGAGATTTTGGCAGAACCAGGTATAACTGGGCATTTGCTACTGCAAATAATTTGTGTAAGGAGTGTTAACTCAAATTACACGAGTGTAGATTCCGGCACAAAGAGATAATACTCAGCTTATGCTACTCCAAATTATTTGTGTAAAAAGTATAAAACTCAAATCACACGAGTGCAGATTTTGGCATAAAGAGATAATACTCGGCTTATGCTACTCCAAATTATTTGTGTAAAGAGTGTAAAACTCAATTTACACCGGTACAGATTTTGACATAAAGAGGTATAACTCAGCTTACGCTACTGCACATAATTTGTGTAAAGCGCGTAGGACTCATCTTACACAGGTAAAGATTATCGCATTAAGAGGTAGAACTCGGCCTATGCTACTGCACATAATTTGTGTAAGGAGTGTAAAACTCAAATTACACAAGTGCAGATTTTCGCATAAAGGGGTACAACTCAGCTAATGCTCCTCCAAATTCTTTGTGTAAAGAATGTTAACTCAAATTACACGAGTGTAGATTCCGGCATAAAGAGATAATACTCAGCTTATGCTACTCCAAATTATTTGTGTAAAGAGTGTAAAATTCAAATTCCACGAGTGCAGAATTTGGCATAAAGAGGTATACATCAGCGTATGCTACTGCACATAATTTGTGTAAAGAGCGTAAGATTCTTCTTACACAGGTAAAGATTTTCACATAATGAGGTATGACTCAGCTTATGCTACTGCACATAATTTGTGTTAGGAGTGTAAAACTCAAATTATACAGGTACAGATTATCCCATATAGAGGTAGAACTTGGCTTATGCTACTGCACATGATTTGTGTAAAGAGCGTAAGATTCTTCTTACACAGGTACAGATTTTCGCATAAAGAGGTATAACTCAGCTTATGCTACTGCACATATTTGTGTTAGGAGTGTAAAACTCAAATTACACACGTGCAGATTTTCGCATAAAGAGGTAAAACTCAACTTATGCTACTGCATGTAATTTGTGTAAAGAGCGTAGGACTCATCTTACACAGGTACAGATTTTCGCATAAAGAGGTATAACTCAGCTTATGCTACTGCACATATTTGTGTTAGGAGTGTAAAACTCAAAATACACAAGTGCAGATTATCGCATAAAGAGGTAGAACTCGGCTTATGCTCCTGCACATAATTTGCGTAAAGAGCGTAGGACTCATCTTGCACAGGTACAGATTTTCGCATAAAGAGGTATAACTCAGCTTATGCTACTGCACATGATTTGCGTAAGGAGTGTAAAACTCAAATTACACAAGTGCAGATTTTCGCATAAAGAGGTAGAACTCGGCTTATGCTACTGCACTTAATTTGTGTAAAGAGCGTAGGACTCATCTTGCACAGGTACAGATTTTCGCATAAAGAGGTATAACTCAGCTTATGCTACTGCACATATATGTGTTAGGAGTGTAAAACTCAAATTACACAAGCGCAGATTTTCGCATAAAGAGGTACAACTCAGCTAATGCTCCTCCAAATTCTTTGTGTAAAGAATGTTAACTCAAATTACACGAGTGTAGATTCCGGCATAAAGAGATAATACTCAGCTTATGCTACTCCAAATTATTTGTGTAAAGAGTGTAAAATTCAAATTCCACGAGTGCAGAATTTGGTATAAAGAGGTATAAATCAGCTTATGCTACTGCACATAATTTGAGTAAAGAGCGTAGGACTCGTCTTGCACAGGTACAGATTTTCCCATAAAGAGGTATAACTCAGCTTATGCTACTGCACATGATTTGCGTAAGGAGTGTAAAACTCAAATTACACAAGTGCAGATTTTCGCATGAAGAGGTACAACTCAGCTAATGCTCCTCCATATTCTTTGTGTAAATAGTGTTAACTCAAATTACACGAGTTTAGATTTCGGCATAAAGAGATAATACTCAGCTTATGCTACTCCAAATTATTTGTGTAAAGAGTGTAAAACTCAAATTCCACAAGTGCAGATTTTGGCATAAAGAGGTATAGCTCAACATATGCAGCTGCAAATTCTAGTGTAAAGAGCGTAGGACTCATCTTACACAAGTACAGTTATTGGCATAAAGAGGCAGAACTCAGCTTATGCTACTGCACACAAGTTGTGTAAAGAGTGTAAAACTCAATTTACAGCGGTACAGATTTTGGCAGAAGAGGTATAACTCAGGTTATGCTACTGCGCATAATTTGTGGAATGAGGAGTTTGAGATTGAACAAACCTGAGGTGCAGGGTAAATAGCAAATTCCAATTTACTCTTCTTGCCATAGTCAACTGAGAGTCGTTCCATGAGAAGGGAGGTGAAACCAGATCCGGTACCACCACCGAAGGAGTGGAAGATTAGGAAACCCTGGAGACCAGTACATTGGTCAGCTAATCTACGGATGCGGTCCAATACTATGTCTACAATTTCCTTTCCAATGGTGTAATGACCACGTGCGTAATTGTTGGCGGCATCTTCCTTTCCAGTGATCAACTGTTCAGGGTGGAACAGCTGTCTATATGTGCCTGTTCTGACTTCATCTGGGAACAGAATGAGATTTGCATACAGGCTTCATGCTAGTTTCTTTGAGAAAATCTCTAACAGAGTTAAGGCGGCCACAACAGTATACTTTCAGACCCTTTAATTAAGCTTTACAGGTCTATTGAACGACTCATCATGACCCATCAAAAAGTCTTTAGGGACAGCTGAAGACTATTTTTAAATAGGAAATTTAAGTACTTTCAAAAATATTCTTTGTAAATTGGAGCATTAAGAAAAAGGGAGAGAACCTGATAACGGTATTTTTAAAATTGTCCATCTTCTTCTTTGCTTTGGAAAAATGCGATATTAACTTACTTTTGATGTGAAATGTACAAGACCATTTTCTGTGAAAGTCAACAAATAAAGAAGAGCTCAGAGTACTTCAAACGATGTCCAAGGAGTAACCTCAATTTCATGTGCAGGTTGAAACAAATTTTCATATTTTCCTCACTTTCAGATTCCCTGCCTTTTTATTATATACTCTGACTCCAAAGTCCCAAATTTTCTTACCTTCGAGAATAATTCCACTGACTGCTGGACACTTTCCCCTCAAAATTAGGTGCATAGCATTTATTAAACTTAAGACAAAATTCTACTTCATCAGGTTCCGATGATAGAAAAAGGCATCAGAGGCTCTTAACACTGACTCAAATGCCATCAGTTGAAATTGTTACATCAATGCAAGACTCACAAACCTCCCTAACTTTCTAAAGTCCTATTTTATTCCTGGCTTTTCAAGGTTTTACGGATAATACTTACCAACAACAGTGGGTTCCAGATCTACGAACACAGCTCGGGGAACATGCTTTCCAGCTCCAGTCTCGCTGAAGAAAGTGTTAAAACTGTCGTCTCCACTACCAATAGTCTTATCAGAGGGCATCTGACCGTCAGGCTGGATGCCATGCTCAAGGCAGTACAGCTCCCAGCAGGCATTACCAATCTGGACTCCTGCTTGCCCGACATGCACTGAGATACATTCACGCTGTAGAACAGAAACATTATTTCATCAGATTTTGAATATTATCTCCAAGTTATATGAAATATATCAGATACAAATTAAAGTGTTGAATGTCCAAACGATGAATGAGAAATCAAAGGTCTTCAAACCGTCTTTGATTCAAAACTCAGGCAGATTTCAATGAGAAAATATTATTTACCAATTTACAGTCGACAAAGTGACTAACTGCAATGGGTTTATGGAGGTTTGCAATTGAGGCCTACGCTGGCTGCCTCCCACAAAAAATAGATGAAAAGTATGTCATGCACCTAAGTAAGTTGATTCGACAGTTGCCATCTTTTTGTCAGAGCTACTGGCGATACATCCCATCAATTCGTTCTATACTTTCAGCTACTTGTCATATTTTTCAAATTTTGAGATGGCACTTCTGTTGTCAAAGAAATTCATGTACCAAATACAAAAAAGATATTCAGCATAGTAAAGGCAGGGTTTTTGTAGGGAGGAAAATATTGCATTTGATACTGATATCGAAACTGCACTCGAATGCGATATATATCCTCTGAAAAAACCCTGCCTTTAGTACGATGAAATTCGATGTCAAGTGGACCGAGTTCATCAGAAAGGAACCAACCCACATTTTTGAAAAAACTGAGTTAGGAATGTTTTTGAGTTCCACTGGTCCGATATATTCCCCTGCCGTAAACTCGGAGTCAAGAAAAAATTATTAGTCCGTGTCAAGAGGGGCTAAAGTTTATTTTCTTCATTGAGCCTTATGAAGAAATAAAACTTCAGCCCTTTTTCTCAGTTTCAACCTTATGTGGGTTGGTTCCTTTCTGTTAAACTCTGTCCAAATTTGGTACATGAATTCTTTAGTCTCACGACAACAGAAGTGCTATCTCACAATTCGGAAAAATGACAAGTAGCTATAATCATGGAACGAATTGATGGGATACCTACATCTAACGTCGCTCTGACACAAAAAAAAGGCAACCGTCGAATCACCATAATGAAGACGAGGAGGGCAATTAGCTTGCAGTAATTGAGGCTGACATTCTTACTTTGAATGGTTTTCCTTAAAGTACCCTCAACCTTTTCGATGAACATTTCTAACTTGATTTGGGTGGAAGGAAAATGAGGGTCCCCCTCAACCATCCCATACATTTTGCTGTCCAACTTACTACCTTATCACTTTCCAATAAGGAGAGGCGATGAAAAATCTTTTTTTTCATCCATCAGTTGTGATCTTCTATGCTTGAATCTGATATGTGCCGAACTTCGTGTCAGTTTTAGGTTCAGAGAGATATCTAACATTTGACAATGTCCTCATGGTGTTTACAGACGGATCAACCCGTCACGCAAACTCAGTTACCCGATTGCCCTTCGCTGCATGTGCTTCCGTGGTCCATCGAATCACCTTAAAAGGCAACAATCCCTCATCATCTGTGTTCGGTAAGGCCACATAGAATTTCAAGGAGTGGGGAGTGGGCGAGCCCCCCTACATATCCTACATGAGGTAGGCTCATCTAAGGGGTGGCCCATCACCAAAGTTTTTCAAAACCAAGACAATTGAGAGGAGTATCACAGCTCTTGGTGGGGCTGAGGCTTCTCGGACTTGTTGAAAGCGATTAAGTTGGTGACGAAAATTTAAATAGGGTAAGAAGTGTGAGACTTGGAAGACACCTGTATAATTACAACAGGCCATTGAACACATTGAAAATGTAATCCGACATGGGCGACTTGTCCACATGTCGAATCCTCAGGGTGTCAACAGGGAGTTAGGCCTGAGAATGAGAGAGGATACTGTAACTTTGATAGAAATAAAGTGGATAGTGAAAGCCAGTTTCAGCTGATGGCGACCGAGCACTCTTTCGCTAGGAAGCCTATTGACGCTGAATGAAATCAAACAGAAAAGAGTGTAAGCCGACGAAAAACATCCGCTATGTGAAAAGGAAGGCTGTTAAGCTGGGGGAAACAGTTGAGATGTCTTCACGAGTTCGGGTTCCGTCGATTTCAGAGAGCTGTTGCACCGTGACAAACCGAACTAACCGTCCAAAAACTGCGCAAATACTGAAGCTAGATGGTCAAGTACAAAGGATATAAAGTCGGTAAAGATGAAAACTTACCATTTTGAATGAGGTGAATTCGAAATCCACGGAAAGTAAAGTAGGTTGAGGACTAGAAACTCGGGAGTGTGCGAAGCTGCGAACAACGGAGCGGCTTTGCACACGACAACGATCTGACTAATTCAATATGGCGGATGGCCGTTACGCCGTTTACCGTGCAACGGATTTTAGGGCGTGGTTTGATTTTACTTCTGATTTTTCCAATTATTCCTCTTTTCGAACAAAAGGAATTTTAACGGCAAATTCTGAACCAGGCCTTTTGATTGGTCCAGAGCGGTTCATTCCATTTATTCCGAGTTGAACCAAATTGGGCGGGAATTACAAATAACTCCGGATATCCTGTTTCCCTAATCGTTTCCGTTTCCGGTACAGTGTTGCCAGTTTAACTCAACAAACCAAACTGACAACACTGTCTAACAGGAAACGGAAACGATGTGGTAAACAGGATATCCGGAATTATTTGTAATTCCCGCCTAATTTGGTTCAACTCGGAATAAATGGAATGAGCCGCTCTGGACCAATCAAAACGCCTGGTTCAGAATTTGCCGTTAAAATTCCTTTTGTTCGAAAAGAGGAATAATTGGGAAAATGTATCAGTTTTGAACCATGGCGGCAAGTTTTGTTTATTAATATGTTTGTCCACGTGCTTCGCGAGGTCCACACGGTTCTTAAAAAATGAAATAAGTTGAAATAACTGATCAGGGAGTTGAAGATCTTCCAACGTCAACGTCTCTTTTGTGTTCGCGTAAGTTCCACTGTTTCCAACAAATTTTCCAAGGTTTTTCGCAGATCCTTATTCAGAAATTCATAACGTTCACGTACTTCTTTTGAGACTTTACAAGTCCCCTTATTTTGAGTCCCCTTACCAGCAAGACTTAAAAGTACTGGATGGACATTCCGTGCCATCCCCCTCGTGTTTTTCTCAGCAAAATCTGCATGTGGTATTCAATCTAATTTCGCCGTCGTTTCCCCGCCATTCCCCGCCGTTTCCCCCCAATTCTCACCTGTACTGCCTAAGCTGGGGAAAGTTCATCCCATCTTTTGCTTCGCCAAGATGGTGAGGTCGCTCCCATATTTCCTCTGAAGACATGAAGTGTTAGGTATCAGGGTTTTGTACCTATGGAGTTTGTGTTTCTTGCCTAGCTCTTCCCTTTCCAGTGTAACATACTCCAACATCAGTTGGGTGAGGTGAAGACATCGAAAACATAACCCAAAATAAGTAGGGTATCAACAAGTATAATCTCAAACTAGCTATAACTGCTCTAAAACTAGTGTCTGAACAAGCATGGTGACCAGAGTTGTGGCCAGAGTCTGAGTACGAGTGTGACCTGTCCTGGTAGCTGCCATGGGGATAATGATGATGAAAGGAAAGATGGCGAAGAGAAAGCTAGGAACTATCCATGCCAGGCAGTGCTGGGGTAATGGGAGTTTGGGGAGTGTCGGATAAGGGTGGCGCCTGGCGCAGGGTTGGAAAGAGACAGGCGCTAGGCTAATGAATAGAGATAGATATGATAAAGAAGTATGGCATGGCACCGCACTATAGGTATAGGAAGGAACACTACAAGATGAAATGTCAGGTATCAGGGCGTTGCTCTCGGGAGGCTCGTGTCCTAGATCCTCCTTTCCCCTGGGTTAATCAGCGATGTTTTCTCATTGAATGCACTCCATTCCTTCAAAGCGGGGAGAACTATCCTTTATTTGGATAAAAAGTCAAAATCTATTGAGATTCTTTACTTAGTCAATGCCATACACTTATTGGACACCATTGACACTAGTTCAACCATGCCAATAATTGAAGACAAATCATGCTAGAAGAATGTTCATGAGGGCATCTCTTACTTACAGCAGTTATATTCTGGTTCATCTTTTCCTGCTTCACTGATCGCCAGAAATGTATGTACTCAACTAGATGATTGTGATGGTACCCGCATTAACAGGTGAATGAGGAGACGTCAATTTTGCCGTCGGTGTATAAAAAGCCTTGAGTTAAAATCTCCTGTTATTAGGTTAAAACGGTCATTCTTGCCGAAAAGATGAATGAATCTGAGCCATCATGATCTTTTCTCTCTGTGTGAGATCATCTTCTGTCCATGTGCTGTTACAAGATTCATTCTTAGTAGTTCGGTGATCAATTTGCATCATTAATTGTTTCCTCCATTGGAGGAAGAGTATCCAAGGACTCTTTTCTTCCAATTTCTACTGACAGCTACTTTCATAACAGGTCTTGTCGCTTTGTAAGAATGCATATATACATACGAAAATAGAAATTTCAACCTATGGAAATGTTATATGTCGACGGTGCAAGTCGGCAATCACATAACTCATTTGCGGTGTCTGAAAATCTCCGCAACTATGTTATTTTTTTAAAGGAGAACAAATGGACATTATTCCTTGAAGTTTTTGCAGAATTTTCCTCGCGCATAGAAGAAAAATCACGGAAGTTTTAAAGAATTACCGTTGAGTAGTTTCCCGTTTAAAAAATAAAGTATGACAGGAAGTCTGCGACGTCGCAAACCGAGTTATGTGATTGCCGACTTTCATCGTCGATGTGTAATGTAATATTGTACTCTTTTCTTAGGATGGAAAATTTCCTGCTCCATAGAATAATCTTAAAATTACCTCAAGGCAACCAATTACTCTACATCCATGTCAAGTATGGTGACGTCCATCTCTTTCAGACGAAAAAAACTTTTTCCATGTGGAACCTGAGTATCTCAAAACTCTGGTAAGTTGAACTGCTGTGCTCTCATGGTTCTGCGGGTTTTTCCTTCTATCCAAGCAAGCTGTTATGAGGAGCTAGGTCAAGGCGAATAAAGAAAGGTGGCCGAATTTTGAGTTGAGCCGTCATTTTAAAGGCTGTGATGTGCAGAGGGTACATGCTTTACCATGCAATCAGGATGTACCCTAAACGTACCAGATGCTGTGTGACGTCAAGAGGGTACAAAATGCGACCACTGTCCTTTATCCGCCTTGCAGCTAGGCTGTTCTAAGAATGCTTTTTATTGATCTAGATTTATTTCAAACTCAAGAAATATTCAAGAAAGTGAATTCTCCCAAAACTTGTTTTTTGGCTCATGCAAGAGTCATTTTTAGAAAATTTGTCTTAATGTTTTGGTGGGTGATAGAGATAAGTGAGGCGTTTTTCAGCTTTGGCATAAAAAATTACGTGAAATTAGCTCCATAAGAAACCTAAATGAAATAATTTTTCCAGTTCTCTCACATCAGTTTTACATGGGAATATATAGGCTGATTATGCAATAGGATTGGAGAAACTTAACTTGAACATGGTGCACTCTATTGAGCAAGTAACGGCATACCTACCTTCATTTTTTTTTGTCCCAATCTTTTTGAACTTAACTTGTTGATAACCATGCCCATATCTGCCTTTTGAACATTTGGGCATTTGTATGCCCATTTTTAGGTGTTGGTTTTTGGTTTGATGGAGTATTTCTCCACTCGTCAAACATATTAATATTATAATGTTACAAAAACCTAAAAATAAAAATTTGAGGAATTTAACTGAATTAGTATATTTTAATGATACTCCGAGCCTTGGGGCATGTGTTAGTTTAGTTAAATTCCCCATATTTTCTTTATTTGTCTCCGTAATGTTTTAATTTCAATGCGTGTGACTTGTGGATTAATACACCATCAAACCAAGATCCGAGACTTGGAGACTTTGGACCTCAGATGCTACAAATGCGCATAGTCTAAGTTCATAAACAAGTTAAAGTAGAATAGGACGAAAGGAAGAACAATGGAAAAACCTAGTTATCAGACACTGCGGGGATGAGCAGTCAGGCAAGCAGTATAAGTATGTTTTCATGAACAATTTGAGCTGCTAAATCATAAACTAACCCTGATTATTTGTCTCGATACGCAGAAAATTCCCTGAAAACTAGACTAGCGAATTTTATTAAGAGGTTTGGTAGCACTTTAACTCTGGAACCTTCCAGCTGCCATTTTATTTTGAGTTTGTTACTTCCGATTCGTTTACATATGAATTGCAACGTTGGTGGGTAATTTTGATACTGCCTCGCGAGGTAGTCCTAGAAAAGGTTCGATCTATCGAAAATTGACCGGACCTGATTGGTCAAATCTGTTGGTAACGGTGTCCATCATTGTTGATGGTTGATGAGATAAATCAGGGCAGAACTTCCCAAAGAGGCTTGGAACTATAAGTGAAATTCGCTTGATATTCCTTAGAAACCCCTGTTCCTTGAGAAAAATAACGATTTTCAGACTCTGAGCTAAAAATCATGTAAGGATCAGCCATAGAATCCCTAATATTTTAGTTACAGACTTGTGTTCTAGCTATTTTTTTTCATTATCTATCTGTTTTTCAAAGAATCAAAGGACCCCGCACACCTCTTATGGGAAGCTGCACCACGACCGATTGCCTTCTGACTTATGTTTTTCGATTCTCCTCAAGATGCTGATCAAAATTTATAATTGCGCCAACTTTCTACGATGCACCGTTTTCGCAAAAAACCTAAGAGAAGATTCAATTATTGGGCGACTATGAATAAAAAAGAACAAAGCATTTGAGGACAGGCCCGATGTAAATAAGGAAAAAACGTAGCGCGTGTCCGTCTTCTTATCTGTACCTGCCGACTCAGAGGCTATCTCTCTCCCGCACTCGCCCGGTAGACGTTCAGACTTTCCTGTTCTTATGCTCCTCAAGAATCTGATTTGGATGGTGGTCGAGCAAAACTGCGAGCGGAATCCGAGATAAGAGTGCCGCTCAGTGCGGGAGTTCCCCTGATTTGTTCACTCGAGTACTGAAATGAGGAATCTTTCTCGCTTTTTATCCCCGAATAATTGAATCTTCTCTTAGGTTTTTTGCGAAAACGGTGCATCGTAGAAAGTTGGCGCAATCATAACTTTTGATCAGCATCTTGAGGAGAATCGAAAAACATAAGTCAGAAGGCAATCGGTCGTGGTGCAGCTTCCCATAAGAGGTGTGCGGGGTCCTTTCTCAAAGAAAAGTTTTTCAAAACCTATCTCCTACTGTTGACAATTGAATTTTTGGCAGGTATTTATCAATCTATGGCCGTCTACCTTCAAAAGGGCAAAACAGGTGTGATTCACTCCATTAGCCTCTTGAGAAAGTTTTAATTCCAATATTTTCAGAGATTCCTCTTTCGGACAAGTTTTACATGGTAGCACAGGCATATAGGTGGATTAAAGTACTTGGGTGAGAGGGAGAGAGGGAAATCCTCGTGGGATTTTATCTTGCCAGTTTATTTTATTTTTTTAACAGTATTTTAGCATTTATTTGAAACTTTACTCCAGATTTATTCTGTAATCTTGATATGTTTCTCTATCAATAGTTCATCTGTAATGGCACTGTGTGACGAGGAATTTCTCAGAAAGATTGAGTTTGAACTAACTTATAGGAGCTTTTTTCGTCTACAAAAGATGTCTTTCTACATAGCAAGTGATTTACTCCTCAGTATCGTGAAGTTATTCCAAAAGCAAACCTTTAGTCTTTATGGTGAGTATTTTCTTTCTTATAAATTAACAAGTAGAAAATAATTTATTTAAACCACCCTAAAAGCTGAAAGTGTGTACCATCAAAACTTTCAAAATCCATATAAATGTGTAAATTTCTCCTCATATGGTCAATTTCTTAAATAAAATGCGGAGAAAGAAATTTTGAAAGACAATATCTGAGCAGTTTGCTCTAATACTTTTCTTAAAGGAGTGACATTCCTGAAAGTAATGACGAGGAGACTTCTGAGGCTTAAAAGAGCGTTGAATAGCGCCCTTTCAAGTGATTAACCGGAACTCTTCGTTAGGTTATATAGATTAATAGTATACCTACTGCTTACTGGTAGGCAATTTTTGGAAGTTCAGTTCAGATCAAATTTTTATTTGAATACTGCAAGGTACAGATCAGTCAGACTGTAGAGCAGTCCTCTGAGGCTTTGAAAGGCGTTGAACAGCGCTCTTTCAAGTGGTTTGTAAGGAATCTGGGTCTTTGTCACTATTCTACCTCTTGATTTGTTTCTATCCAGATAACTTTATTTACATTCTCTCTTAGTTTTTTTACTCACGTGTTAAACTCATTCCCTCCCCCCCCCCTTTATTATCTGTCGTATCAAGTACATCCAGCTGTTGTATTATTTGTGGCCTTTCATTGATTGTTATATTGTCCTTTGTTACTTTTTTTTGGACTCACGGTATGCTCATTTTTCAATAGATGTATGAAGCAATAAATGACTGAATTACCGAAATGGTTACATATCATTGGTCCAATATTTGTTTTAGTAGCATATTTTCGCCCTTTTGAAATGGTGAAATTCTAATTTTAGTGTCATTTAATGTTTTTTTAGTTGATATGAGAGGCTTTCATCTCAACCCCTTGAAACGGAAAGGCAAATCCAAGGAAAAACCCAAGAAAGTTAAAGGTAAGACAGTGAAATATTATCAATTAATGAACTTTCAACACCCTTGCAAAATCTTACATCTCACAAGGTAACACCTGCCTGACAGGTTGTGAAACTATTGTCACAGCATCATTGCTAAAGTTGACGTTACAGCAAAATTTTTATGGTGCTGTTTTCGGTTGTTGTCAAATGGGTAAGTTCTGCAAAAATATAGATGTTTATTTCGGATTGTTTGTCTCAAAAAATCGAAATTAATTTGACTTAAGGAAAACTTTGGCATCTGTTTATTATGAATGCAGACGATCTTGAAGGGAGGAGCAGCCCTTACGCAGTCGCCGAGGCAAGGCCCATTTTTTATTCGAGACCCCTCAGGCGGGGCCAGTCTCGACCAGGTCAATCATACAGAGAGGTATCGACCATTGCAGCATCACAGGAGATGGTTTAGGCTCAAACTCATAACAACCGCATTCTTACCTAAAACTGCACAAAAAGGTGTGTTACTAAGAAATTTTTGGAGTATACCTACAGACCTACACTGGGTAACCTAAAAGGGTTTTGATTTTGCCTTTCAAATAATTTTTTGTTGTTGTTTAGGAAATATCAATACCTTTTTCACCCGTTTCTCTCTCCTGCCCGTTTCTTTCCTTCTACCATTTAACGTAACTATACTTCTGTAGACCTAGTCTGCTGTGCTAAGGGAAATCGCTGTATCACCCTTCAGACGTCGTCATGTTTCCTTTGATGAAATACATATTTGCAGGGAAATCTGTGAATATTTTTCACAGATTATTTTCGCAATCAGGTCTACATAAATCATCTTATAATATCACAAGGAAATATTTAAAAATCTCAGAAATAAACATTTTCGGAGAATATTTGGCAGCTCTTTTAAATGTTATGCGTTTTTCCTTAGCATGGCAGTAGCGTAAACTTAATTGTTTCCTCATTATTTACTTTTCCTCTTTTTTTGCTACGTTTCAGATGCAACGCATACCATTCCAAAGGAGGATTTTGTCATCAATCTGAAAGATTATGACAGTGTGAGTCATTTTACTTCAATATATTTTCAAGAGATTTATTGCTTTCACTAAACAAATTTAAAAATTAGATAGATGTCAAACATCATGTAACTTGTAGATAATACTTCGAAAGTTCCTTCAGATAAGATTAATACAATTTTTGACTCTTAGTGGCAAGACATTGGTGCAGAAAAACTTATATTACTTGCAAACCCATGGGTCAAATTAAAAACCTGAGTGCTCGTTAAAAAACTGAAAGTGTGCCGATGAAGTTATTTTAGTCAATCAGAATGTATATTCATTTGCTTTAAAGCCAATACAAGTATGTACCTACTTGTTGAATAGCCACTGTGATTGGGTATTTGACACACATATCTCTCTCAGGAAATCATCTCAGGATCTCAGGTCTAGGTCTAACATCAGAAGAGAATGCAACATGTAGTGAATTCCCTTCCAAAAATACACTACATTATCTCTTGAAATTGGCATCTCGTCTCAAGATTTGCCTTTTATTTGCCAAGATCCTAGAATGGTGAGCTCTGATTGTGGTCATTCTGAGTTATCTTAATTATGGATCATCATTTGCAGTTGCAGCTGTAAATTAGAAATAGATTATTTAATAGCTTCTTTCCTAATCATGAAATTTGTTCTGTTACACCTGCAGGTCATAAATCAAGTTGCAGCTACCCTCCAGGATAGTGACCGTTTCCACACCTTTACTGAGCCACCTGTTACTCTGGTAGGTGGACCCACAGTAATAACAAATTTTAATGGAATTGTAGAATTATAAACATGTTTTAATATGTGCTCCAATTTACGAAGATTCATCCTTTCACAAGCAGCTGTTGACTGCAATGATATAATTTTTTATTTACAGGCACTAATATAATCCTACTCTATCCATCTATGACCATTTTCTCTATTCTTAAACTGACAATCAATCTGTCGGTTAGAGGATACAGAATCTTTTAAGCTTCTGATTTTTCTATGCTGGCCTGGGCATCTAATGGAGCATCTTTTGTACTGCTGATTGGATGTTTTACAACATTTAGTTTCATAGTGCGATTTTCAAAAAGTAAGAAAAATAGAAATATCCATCCAATATCCAGTACCTGCACAACTAACCATTGCAGGGTGCCCTTTGCACAGAAAAAGTGCAGAGAGACTGGAATAGCATTAATTTTAGGAGATCTATACAAAAGAACAGAAAACGTATAGATTTTTCACCTAAAATTATTGATGTTCTAAAGTTCTGCAATTATTTTAAAAAAAGAACCTTAAAGTTATTCAATAATTTTTATCATAGTACGTTCTATCAAACTCAATGAAAATACTTCAGAGGTATGCCATAATATTAATTATATTATGTATTTATAAAATTTCAGTCAGATTCTGCACGGTTCAGTTCATTCCTCTAAAATCTCCACATTCTCGTTTCCAAATAAAAATTTTCTAACCTTTTGCAGACATCTGCCCTTGTTAGAGCTCAAAATGTGTGTCAGGTAAAGAAGAAAAGATAAAGAGGTAATGAAAAAACGAGGCTTTTAAGAAAAGAGGAATTTTTGGAGAAATGTGGAAAAAGCAAAATATGAGGTAATGGGAAAGGAGGATTTTAGATGATGATATGTTTATGAGTAGATATTCTGGCAACAGGAATAGCATCTTTAAAAAAATACTACTACTAACAAGTCACTCTTGTTGCGCTTCTGTGCCCTCTGTGACACCCAACCGCCACTGATAGCGATCCTGCCAGAGCTCCTTCGGCCGATCGCATCTCCTCATTTCCTGCCTTATTCCCTCAATCCACGATTTGGCAGTCTTTCAAAAAACACCGTAGGTAAATGATCTTACCCTCCATGGTAGGATATAGCATGGTCTTTCCCTTGGTACTATCAATGGTGCTCCTGGTGAAAGTGGAGTCAACTGTGTGAAACGGTGCTGCCGTAGCAGCCGAAGAACACGGGAGCATAAAAGAATAACGACTGAGAGACAGGAATAGGAATGAACGGCTCGCCGACCGGCCAGAACACACATAGAAGAAATCAAATAAAGAAAATCACCCGAGCGGTGATTTTCCCCCACGAAAAATATTCACATCTCGAATGATGACTTGACCGTCTGTGCGCTAAGACCGAAGTAACTCAATATGACGTCTCAGTAACGGTCACTCTCTCTCTCTCCGGTGTCCAGCTCTCCCTCTGGTGGATCAAGTCATAGGACCCGATCCCCTAATAGGAATGCAGACACCAGACAGAGACAGGGAGGGAAATAAGAATAACCACATATTTATATGTCACATGTGAATAATGAAACTACAATCATGCAACAGATTAGGTTATCCATCTTGGTTTTCAACATGTCTCGCTATGAACGATTCACTCTGACATACAGGTGCTTGAACCAGTGGCATTATACTTAACGAATGTCAGTATGTAGGAGGAGTCATTGTGATCTGCTGCCTAACTGCACGGACAGGGTGCAGGAGCCCAATCAGGCAACCATGGTACCATGTAAACATGGAGAGGCATTTTCAATGAATAGTTAAGGAACAATAAATGATTAACCTTCCCTTCATTATACATTTCTGAATCAATGAAATTTTCACTAAAGAACGATCTGATTAAACCTGAAGACTGGACTCGGAAACATCATTACAACTCATGTTACAATAATATTGATGTCCAAAAATTTATGTTTAAAGAAACCTGAAAGTAACATAAAACATTATGCAATCAAACTTTTTAATTTCCCACTGCTTTCTAAGTGTCACTTTACAAATTTTGTCCATTTCCCTTTTTCAGGACTCTTCAAGTATCTTCCAAAGCTCATTTGATGATAAAGACCTACTGATCAACCTCATCAGTTTGGATCCAGTCTTTGATAGGTTTGTTGCTGCTGTATTTTATCTAGGAAACTTTTTTTCACAGTTTTCCAACTTTCTCCAAACACTTTTTGACAGCGCCCATTCCGACATGGTCTTGAAATATCGGGGAAAATATTTAGCGGCTCTGAGCATTACGTTGGTTCTGGAAAAGATTTTATGCCATGTCTTGCATTTACACCTTCTTGGCCTTGTTTGACCCGGTGGCACGCTGTTAGTAGGTTATTGTTGCTACTGGAGCCTCCTTTCTCAACATGTATATGGTTCATTCTATACCCAGTTTCCTCATGATTTTGGATTTTGGAATTTTCTAACTTACATTTCCTTCTTTTTGGTTAAATTTTATGAAAGTTATAGTTGCTAATTATTGCAGTAAATGATGAAGATAAATCAAAAATAACTAAGAGAGGTAGTCAGGCACTTGATTTGGTTTTGAGTCAAAAAAGGAAATTTTTAACACTTAATCAATGTTAAAAAAGAATCGTGAATATTTTAAACACTTGAAAAAGAAAAGAAAAGAAAACCAAACCAGTGGGATATACCTATTAGCTGCGCTAAATGAGCCACCAAGTTTCCTGGTCCAATAACATCCCAGATATCGCCCTTCAAAAAATATGGTTCATGACATCATCCACTGTGATGGTGCTTACCATGGTTTTTTCCTTGGTTTAAGGGAAGCAACTAGTGTAGATGTGTACATCACTGATTCAATGTGAAAGAAACCATGGTATAAACTTCTGCGGTCGATGACATCATACACCATGTTTTTAGAAGAGTGTTATTTCTGTTAATATTGGACGTAGAATTTAAGCATTTTAACAAATCTTATTATTTTTGGCTGACCTATAAACCTCATCCATCAATATGCGATTCTTTGACTAGGGCAACTGATTCATTTCATAAATATCGCTCCAATGAAAATTTTATTTCTCTGAACTAAGGTCTTTTTCCCGCCAATTGTCACACATAAAAAAAAATTGTAGAGAATGAAACTGCATCGTCCAATTCATTTCACTTCTAAGATTGACTTTTACTAGCTTGTTTGCATTTTATAATTGAAACTTATTATTTTACAGACTTGACAAGGAGTTTGGTTTAGATGATTTAGAGGTAAGTTTTCCCCCTGGAGTATGACTTGACATGGTCATCCCCATTTTAACTGTCTCCTATTTTTCTGATGGCACAAATCCTGGAAGTTTCATATTTAGATACAAGCTTTGCAAGATTGGGGGGAAAAAAAGAATACATGCCATTACTTTTTTTTCTTCACTGATATACTAATACAGCAGTGATGTAAAAATTGGCCTGTTGACACAAACTCCTTTTCGTTAATTCTGACAAAATCCTTACAGATTCTTTCAATATTTTGCACCAACAACGAAGAAGCTTATTGCAGAAACAATAGTCCTTTTGATGGTGAACTATTGATATGAAGCACTCTTTGCAATAAACAAAAAACATCCCCGAAAAATTCAATGCTTTTCTCCTGCTTTAAATTTACAGCTACATGTCTACTGATGAAGAAATTTTCTTCTTTTTCTACCATTCCTTTATAACCGCTAGTTTTATGAGCTTTTAAAGTATGGTAGCTTATATCAACCGACTTAATTTAAAGCAGCTCTTTTTTTAGTAGATTAAAACTTGGCGTTTCCTCGAACATAATGGGATTTTGTATCGCCACTCCAAGAAAAATGCACCTTATTTGGTCTGTTCCTTGATATATTCTTAATTATGTATGAATATTACGGATGATAATTCGATAATTCAAGACATTTTGCTTTCAGGAGCTGAACATCCTATTTTTAAACTACGTCTTTGTCATCAATATTTTTTCGATTGTTTTTCCTGTCACTACACTTGAAAGTTTATTAAGCTATCGGTTCTTAAGTATGTGTCCACCGTCTCTAACTTCAAAATGGACATCTGATACTCTTGCCATGAGCTCTAACAAGAGTGAAATAATGATCAGAAGTGGATGAATCCTATTAAGTAATTTAATGAGCTATTACAGGGATAGAAAAGTAGTCAATGTCCTTCGGAAAATATGTTAGTCATTATCAAATACTGATCATCTAGATACTTGTACACAACATTCTTACACATTAATAATCAGTACCCATCAGTGGTCTGGAAACAATTGAAAACTAGACATCTAACTTTCTAAAGGACACCTCCTTTTTCATACGCCGCTTCTCACTTTTCTTGATAAGTACGGAGGATGAAGGTGTGTTCGGAGAAATTGGTTTCATCAGCAACATGGCTCTCGATGACTGGTATGTTTTTAGTGTGGTTTTCTTAGTCATGATACGGAATTGTTGCAGTTCTTATAACATCTGGTTTTTCTTGAGGGGTTTTCTTTTCCTTTTGTGGATGCTTTTTCTACATGGTTCTCGATGATTAATATGTTTTTAGTGTGGTTTCCTTTGTTATGATTCAGAATTCTTGCACTTCTTCTAATTTCTGGTTTTGTTTGGGGGTGTTTTCTCTCTTATTTTTTTGAGACTCTTTTTGGTTTTTTTCTACCGCAGTCTATGTTGCAACTTGATTCACTTTTTGTTTCCTCCGCCATTTTGCTCCTGCTTTTTTTACTTTCCTCTTAGTAGGCTTTAAAATAGTTAATACAGGAGTTGTCTCATCGGTCACCTTGCAATTCCGAAAGTCCTTAAAATTAAGACATAGTCTCTAAAAAACACAGGAGGCAAAATTTGACTCGCCCACTTCAACTGAGCAAAATTGAATGTTTGAGCGCTCTGTAGGATCAAAATTTTACTTCCTACTGAGCAGTGATGACTTATTTTCACATTTTTTCCACGAAATCGCGCCCTTACAGTCTTATCGCCTATGCTGAGAATTTCGACCGTCTTTATTCAACACCTTTCATATTTGGGAATGGACAGGGCACTAATCATAACACCTTATTTAACATTTTAACGACTTATTTTATTTATAGTGGTATTGGTCAACAAGAAATTCATTGAATCTTTACAAGTTTTTTTCTTTTGTGGATGTTGTTTAAAAAATAATCCTTGAGAATCAATTGAAGCGTTTGTCAACTTTCCCCTTGCATGCATCAATTGAAACTCAGCTTTTTTAAATTTTTTAGCTTTTGCTACTGGTTCAGGTCTTCAACTTTTTTTTCTGATTGTATCTCGGCAAATGTAGCGTTTCTTGTCTGCCAAACGCCAGTGTCAAATACTTTCATTAAGCATTAAGGCAGCTATTTTCTTTCTGATACCAGGGTGTCTACAAGTCCGGAATTTCCGGAAAGTATGGAAATAGTACTGATTTTTCAAGGGCGGTCCAGAAGTACTGAAAAAGTGCGGAATTCCGCAAGGAGGTCCGGAATTTTTTTATTTTTTTGTCTTTTTTGTCGTTTTTGTCGCAATTTACGCCGGAAATTAAAATTTTTGAAATTTGCCGAATTTCGTCAATTAGAGGTACTGAAAAAGTACTGAATTTTTCTGTTCAGGAGGTACTGAATTTCTTGGGAATGTACTGAAAAAGTACTGTAAAAGTACTGATTTTTGGCCAGCCTGTTTAAATAGACACCCTGGATACTGCCTTTTTTGGGGAAGCTGTGCTCTTGCCTAATCTTCTGCCTCAGCGATTTTTCATCATGCTCATCAGCAATTTCCATTGGTCTTGAAATGAATTCTGCGATGAAAATAATTAGAAAGCATGAGCAAATGAGTAGTTTTCACTTATTAAGTTTGAAAGTAGATTATCTTGAATAAGTTAGTATCATACAATGCTTAGTCAAACATTATTTAGAGACACAAGACAAGCATTAGGCCGATCGTAGTAAGGCATTGACTTTCACCACTAACCATACTATCACTCAGACATTCAGGGCCAGTTATGTACTTTTCCAATTTATTGTGAGTAAAATGTTCGTATCCTACCCGCTCAAAACTTTCTGGAAGTGTGTCTGCCTTAAATGCTGTAACTGAATTATGTGTCTGCTATCTTCCCAAAGAGTCCATTTTCAAAAAATCAAACCACTTGTACACAAGATTGCTTAATTTTTTTGCTTTCTAAGTACAATGGAGATGTTGCATGTGTGAGGAATTTGCTATTTGACTGTTGATTCTTTTGTAAAAGTTCGCAAGAAACATGATGGTGCCACTGGTTTTCTCTGATATTAACTCCCAAGCTCAAAAAAAGCTCTCAAGTTGAGGCCAAAATGGAGGGGATATCCCACGCTATCCTGAGAGTCCACGTCTACATCAAGACAAACTAGCCATGCAAAGATAGGGAGCAAATCCAGTAGCAGTGATGCCATGTTTTCAGTTTTAGAGTCCCCAAATAAAGTGGCAGCCCTGTCAATGTATTTGCTCCCTATCTTTGCATGGAGATCTTGTTTTGATGTAGAGGTGGACTCTCAGAATAGCGTGGGATATCCCCTCCATTTTGTCCTCAACTTGAGAGCTTTTTTTGAGCTTGGGGAGTTAATTCCAGAGAAAACCAGTGGCCACATCGTGTTTCTTGCAAACTTTTACGTAAGAATCAACAGTCAAATTGCAAATTCCTCACACATGCAACATCTCCATTCTATTTTATGGGATCTTTTGTCAAACAGTTGTTTAGTTGGTTCTACCCTCCATCCTCTTCTAAATGTTATAAAATCATGTGCAACTATTTTACAGCTCACTGCCTTTTATCTGATGTATTTTAAGTGGTTCTAATGGTTGTCTGCTTATACGCTTAATGGAGTGTTTGCTAAAGTAACCTGTTGGTCTTTTGGATGTAAGATTTCCGCAACCATTTTGAAGAGGTCAAACAACGTAGTAATTATCGTAGGCTAGTAGAGACAAACCACATTTTTTCAGTCAATTTTTCAGATCACAAAATGATCAGCAGTTCATTATTTGTTCAATCTCACAGGGTGATCATTGTTGGAGAAAAATCCGGAAAAGAATCGGTTTCAGGAAAAATAGCGTTATATCAAATCGCTCTACATAATCTCTATATTGCATTATACAGCCTCTGCTTGTCCCCTAACCGGATTGAGAAATTTAAAAATGATCATTCATCCTCCCACATTCTATAGCAAGTCAGAGAATTTCCTCAAAATTGATCAGATAAACTTTGAAAAGTGAGGGAATTGCATTTATTTTGTTGCGTTATCTACTTTAAATTCCCAAATGATGGACATTTGAGCAATGCATCTAGGCTATCAAGTCCTTAGAAGGTCTGGTGAGGACAAAACTTAATTTTCTGTCCGCGAAATGCGTTTTTTCTATGTCTTTAAATTTTGGTATTCTTACAGGTGCTTTCAAGTTTGTGGTATGCGGGATGCAAACTAAAAATGTGGAGCAATTGTTTCAAAATCTAATCTATTTCCCAAGTCTGTTCCACAAAACTCCAAGCAAAAGTGTTTACTTTAATCTCATGGTTTCCCTTTATGACTTCTGCTAAGTGTTTGTTATGGCTACGTTTTCAATGTAACTTTTCTCAATTGCAGCTCGGAGAGCCACTCCCATCATGGCCTCCGCCGGTTGGAGTGCAACCGCCAACTCCAGGCGCATCAGCAATGAGGGATGATACGCTTTCAAGGCAGGATGGGTCATTAATGGCACCAAGAATTCACGATGTCATTAAACAGAAAATCTCACCAAAAGGGGTAGCTGTCGAAGCGGAGATAACACCATGTCCGATTCTTAGCCCAAGCAGTATGCACGAGCCTCCGGAATCGCCATTCGTAAGTAGTCTTTTGTTTTGATAACCAGGAACCTGCTTGAAGTAATACTCTCTATCGCCTCCAGATGCTGCTTCCAAAAACAATGTCACGTGTAACAATACTTGGAAGCCGACTTGCAAATTGCTAAACAATGCATGTGTTCTAACGAACGAGCAGTGTTCTCTTCAATTTTTTCATCGTTGTTGGTGGGTAACTAAAAATTAGGAGAATTTTGCTCTTAATGCCATGCAAGGGTTTTTCCTCATCCTTTAAGTAATTTATTGATTATAATTTATTCATGGCTAATGTAAAAAAATGCATACCTCAGATTGCAACGTTGTAAGTTTCTACCCATGTCTCAATTTTTTTTTAGAGGAAAACATATCAAAATTTCCTTGAAATGTCTTGACTCACTCTAAAAAAAAATCACGCAAAATTGCACGGAAGCATTTTGATCATTTTTTCTTGCAGAATATAAAATACAACAAGAGATTTATAACTTAGCAATTGAATTGCGCATTTCTTGGATTTAGCCTTTCCCAAAAATTTTACACATTCAACTCATATGTCGTTACTTAAAATGATTCATCCCGGGTTCTTAGCGTCGTCAAACTAATGTGCAGTATATTGCATCGATTAAGCAATAAATCTTGGTAGATTTTAACTTTTAAGCCACCCAAAGGACAACAGCTACTGCCCTTAAGCCGAAAGAATGGTTTTCAACCAAAGATTTTGGAATATAGAGAGAAATAAGGGCTTGGTTTTTCCTAGAAAAAAAACTCACTTTTGATACAGAGGTCGATTATTGTGTTAAATTGAAGGGGTTTTTTCCGAGAAGAATATTGCCTTCATTTCTCTGAATTTTGCAATTTATTTAGTGGAGAATGATTCATTAGGTTCATGTGCTGGGGCTATTTTCCGTTTTTGGGCTAAAATGGGAAAATCTGCCAAAATTTTTGACTTAATAAAATAATACATTTTCATTAATATAATTCTTAACAGTCTCTAAAGGTATAAATCTACTTTAAAAGAGCTTTTTGTAGAACTGCTGTTGAAACCATTGCTTCTTTCAATAATTTTTATTCTCATTTTAGGTTCCATTGCTTGAAAGTACCCTAATTCATCATGGCATTCACCCAGAAGCAGCCATGCCAGTGCGTGACATAATGCCTCGAAGAGAGCAGGTGAGTTCTGCTGACATATGGAAATTCTCTATCCGTCTATCGACTCCGACACTTGTAAAATTAGTTTCATGGATTTTTTGTGAAAGATGTTAAAAGTAAATTGGTACGCATAAGATATTTTTGTGCATAGGGTGTCCAAAAAGTGTTGTACACTTCTGGTTTTTAAACAAACAGAAGCAGTCATCAGTTTGCGGTGTGTGTGCGCTAAAAGTCAGCGTAATTACCTGTAAAACGAGACTAAGATCAGCTCTCTAGGTTAAATAGTGACTGAGTTAGAGGTGTCAATAGATAAGTTGATATTTGCTTACTTTTGATTTGTAGGCGCTGGCAACAAATTTACGCCTCTGCACAAAGCGTCGTTTGCCACTCTCCACCTTAAAAACATCCGTCTTATGATCGTACCTTTAAAAAACTACTTATCAGTCGTGATCCACAACTTTTATGTGGTTGTAATATCTGTTTGGCTAAAAATTAAAGTGTTACAAGGTTCGAAAGTATTAAGAAAACCTATCCAAGCTTGTGTTCTTGCCTCTGCAAGAGTCGGATGTTTTCATGTCAATAGTAGTGATGCTAAAACGCCTGCAAACCGAAAGTTAACAAATGTCAACTTATCTAACGACACCCTTATGAGGTTTTGAAAGTGATTTGTCGAGATCGAGAAACCTCCTTCAGGATTTTTTTTTAGTCATCTGAGGAATCAAACATTTTGTACTTCAAGGGTATCTGTTACGAGTGTGAAATGACTTGCTGGACACGTATCCTTTTTGACATCACTCCTAAAGGCAAAAAAACAGGATCATTCAAAACAATGGTAAAAGCAGTTTTCCAGCTCAAGTATCTAACAATATTAGTAGTTTTTACTGTTTTTCAGCTTTGAGGTTTTCGGGACTGATACTTCTTTACCTATGGATGGTAAAATTTAATTCATGATTAAACTGATCATTAATTGAGGAATCAACACCGATGGAAAACTATTTTAGCCTTTTTCATTTTTTCAGTCACCGCCAGCAACTGGACCATTCCAGTTTGCCGTTGAGGCTGAGATTCATTTTGTTCCAGTCAGCCCACCGCAAGATGCCTCGGCAGCAGCAGGAGAGGCACCACAGGTCTGAAAATTATGTTTTTAAAACGTAACATGAAACTTTTTTCTATCTACTCTCACTTAACATCAGTCATAATATTTACCAATGGTTAAATTAGTCGGGGTAAATAACAGAAAATATTACCGTAGTAGCAGAAAGATGTAAAATTTACAAAAAAAAAAAAAAAAAAAAAAACGCAAAAAGAAGCAAAAGTTTTGTAAAGGCATTTTTAGATTTATAGTGTGCCATTTTTGAAGCTCAAAATTGTAAATCACTAAAGCTGTCAATTGTAAGCTCAAATACTTTAATTAAAAAGTAGGACAAAACCTGTCCTGTGACAATGGCAATTGTTGGAACTGCAAAGTTAGTTATCCAAAAAGTAGAGGCGGGTCTACTCTACACCAGTTGGTTTCTCAGATACTCCGATAAATCCGTGATTGCTCCTCATGTTGTGGGCTTTTTTTCTCTTAATGGCCTTAAAAGTTTAGATAAACTTTGAATCTTTGAGGATTTAGAAAATGCGGTTTCTAAAGAACCGCTTTTCATCAGAATTGAAATTAAATGAAATCAATGAAAGCATTAATGAAGCATTATGGCATTAATTTGAAATTAATGTGTTCACAGTCCTCACCCAACAAGGAAGCGTACATCAAATATTGGGCAAATACCCGTCAAAAATGATTTATCAATTTTTGTTGGGTGTTGAACAGAATACTGTCCCTTGCTGAATCTTGTGTCAAATTTTTTCTCTCATTTTATTAATTTGCATTTATTGTAATTTAACAGCCGTCGGTCATGGAAGGTGAGGTTCAAAGCATGCAGGCTGAAGCTGTAGCTCCAGATGGAGAGAGAATATTTTCCGTTCCTGAACCAGGCATACAAATTATTCCTGAATCTGAACTCCACGTTGCTCCAGAGGCAGAAATACATCTCGGCACAGAACAACCTGAAATATCTACAGTGCCTGAGCCCCTACAGCAGTTGCCTGAAGAGGATATATATGTATTTCCTGCCGAAAGACAGGGAGAACCTGAAAGACGTCCAACAGGTCCTGAGGTGAGTTTTCAATGTAAAGAAGTCTTCAAAGTAAATTAATAGTGCAGTGTGGATTATCAAATGTACTATTCATAATTTTCTCAACAAATTGAGTTTCAGTTTCAAAGGCATGGTTCAATTGCATGGCTTGTTTTAATAATTTGAACATGTGTTATTGCCGCTAGTAGGAGAAAATTTGAGAACACCTTTATTTTTACTGAAAAACTGAGTAACAACAATGAATCTTCCTTTGGTATTTTAAAAAGAAATACAAAATGACCCATTCAATAATGAAAATAGAGAAAAGTTACTGGATTTATGATGTAAATGATTTCTTATTGCTTCATTTTTTTCATACGAATGACTACTAAGCATTCCTTTTTAGAATTTGAATTTAATATTCTTCGTCATACCCAAAATATTCAGTGGAAATTTTGAACAATAAAGGAAATGTGTTTTTCCTAGAACAATGATTACATAACCCTGCGTTTTTTGGTCATGTCGTGTTGCATGACATGTCTTGATTGATTCTTATGTATATATTAGCGCTGAATTTAGGAAAAATATCCAAACAAATTCCATCACGTCAGGATTTTCTGCAAATTCAAAATTTTAGTTTTTTGGGGGGGGGGGGGAAATTTCCAACAAATTGAATTTTTTCTTTTTAATTTGACCATTGATTTTGGTCTATAGTATCTCCACTAAGTATAAAATAACCATTGCATGTCAAAAGGAAGTCTTAAAAAGTGATAATTGTCCGAATTTTGTCAAATTTTATGCATTCTTAGGTGATTTTTATCCCTCTTTAAATCGTTTTCCCGTCAAAATGTTTAAAAATACGACTTGAAAAAAATTTACTGTCCATAATTTACTTACGTTCCTACCCACTAATCACCAAAAAAAGTAAACACAAGTTTCTAAGTAATTGGGAAAAGGGGGGCGGCTCCAAGATATCATAAGAGCTCCATGCGGCTCGCGGCTTCTTCCTGCCGCGCCCTGCCGCACCGTGTTGCAGGTTCCAACTCATCTGAGTTTCACACACCTTTTTGATACCTCAACGCATTTTTACAGGTTTCAACTTGTCTAGTGTTCTATCATGAGTTCAGTGGAATTTTATCCTGACTTATCAGTGCTAAATTGGCAGTTTGCCCGAGATTCGATTCTTTTTTGTGTCGAAAATTCGTAATTTCGGCCAAATGACTTCCAGAGGGTGCAAAAAGTCACCAGATGTGTTTTGTTACATCTATGGTGAGCTGATGGTGCAAAATCAGCAATGTGATATCACAGAATTTTTGAGGAAACCTGTGACGCGGCGGGAAGAACCCACGAGCCGCAAGGAGCTCTCATAACATCTTGGCGCCGTCCCCCTCTTCCCAATATTTTAGAAACTTGTGTTTACTTTTTTTAGTGATATGCAGGTACTCACATAAGTAAACTAAGGGGGAATAATTTTTTTCAAGTCATATTTTCAAAAATTTTCACCGGAAAACAATTTGTTCGGGGTTAAACATCACCTAAAAATGCATAAAATTTGACGAAATTCGGACAATCATCACTCTTTGAAGCATCTTTTTGACGTGCAATGGTTATTTTATACTTAATAGAGATACCATAGACCAAAAGCAATGGTCAAATTAAAAAAAAAATTCAATTTTCTAGAAATTTTCCCCCCAAAAAACTAAAATTTTCAATTTGCGGAAAATTCTGACGTGATGGAATTTTTTTTATACTTTTCCCGAATTCAGCACTAAAAAATACATCAGAATCAATCAAGACATGCCATGCAATATGACATGACCAAAAAAAAATGGCTGTGTAGTATTAAAGTGGAGATTTTGAAACATTGCAAGTAGGTATATTTTTTCTTTTTTCACCATCCAATTGGAATTTGTTTACTTTTTCTCTTGGAATGAGCTTAAATGCATTTCTCTGGTTTGAAGAATTAATAGAGGGCTGTATTCTAACACAGCATTAACGCACTTTATCTGGACATGTTCTTTAATTGTTCATGTGCATCGTTATAATTTTGTTTGTTGTACTTTCCTGAAATATCTATATTTTTTCTATTATACATTCCAATGATTCAGATCCCTTTATCCTCAAAAGAGGCTGTAGCTGGAGACCAAGAACAAGTTAAAAAAGACAAAGGCAGGAGGAAGAGATTCCTAGCTAGACCGCAAATTCCTAATCGTGTGTTGCGTAAATGGTACGAGGAATTGCTCAACAAACCCAGGTCTACATCAGTAAGTCACTCTTCTCACACAACTTTTCAGAGCGGATTGCAAAAACTCTGTTGATATTCATCAGCTTTTGAAAATAGCTCTGGTAAAATGAAAGCAAATGAAATGATGCTTGCAAATGAAAATAATAAAACTTCTAACTTATCTGATGCAAGCTCTACCTTTCTCATAAAGAGTTCCCTCCCATCAGAATTTTTTGCCCACCTCCATGTTACTATGTAGCTGTCAAGCAAATCCGAACAATCAAAATTCTACATGTCTGTTGTTAAAGCATTTTGCTTATTGACTATTATATCGGTAACTCTAATGACAGAAGTGATTCTGGTGATAGAATCAGCTTAAGGTTATAGATTAAGTAAATAAATCAATATATAAATTTCCGTGAGGTATTAAAGACACTCACTTATTATTTCATTTAAAAATCATCCACTAAATAGTTTTTTCTCATTGGCCACATTTAGAGCATTTCTTCATGATGTACAGAATGAATCCATTTAGGTTGCCGCTCAGATTATACTTCTCAGTTTGCATTGTGTTTCAAGCCTTGTTGTAGTTATGGTATTCTATGTTTAATTTTGAATTTTTTCTCTAGCATCCTATCACAGTTATGTTGGATTTTATACGCAATGAACAAAAGAGCACACCAAAGCCAAACCAACATATAGGACGCTATAATTTTGCAGAGGTATTCTTGCTAACTTCATATGATTTTCTTTTCTTTTTTTAACCATTATTTTCTCGGTGAATATTACTCTGTTCACATGGGGCCCAGAAGTTCAGTTTGTTCCCGTTTTAGAGCAAACTTTGAAAATTATTAGCATGTGGTATGCACAAGACTCTAGATCGATTCCTCAACTTAGAACGAAGACCTTAGGCAGGTCTCTAGCTTTAAAATTGCCTAAGTTACGGCATTTTAAAGATGGTGTGTTAAGAGGGACTCTGGTGTTTTTCCAGCATGTTTTACTTCTGGCTAAATGATTCTTGCATCATTCACAGTCTTACCATAGTAATTAATTATTGAGTTATTGGTACCTTTAAATGAAGAAGGGAAATGGGAACATTCTTACAATTGAGAAATTGAAATTAATTCTGGCTGTTGGTTGCGGTATTTAATGAGCCTCCAGACAAGGCACACTATGTCGTCACCTTCCAGGCAAAGTATCACAAGCGCCATGCGACGTTTAAAAATTTCCGCCGCCATTTTATTTTTTTACAGAGAAATTGTTCAACGAAGCTGTCCGAAAATTTCACTGAATTTTCTTTGTGCTGCCGATAAAATTTAGTGAAATTTCCAAACTGATTCAACCAACAATTTCTCAGTAAAAAAATAAAATTGCGGCGGAAATTTTTAAACGTCGCATGGCGCTTGTGATACTTTGCCTGGAAGGTGACGTTGTATTAAAACACAATGCTACGTGCTTTCCCTTCAAAATTTCACAAGAGGAAGTCTGAAAATCAACTCTTGAACAAGATATAAGTGTTTTCTATCAACATTGATTAAATGGCAAAAATACAAATGATGCTATGTTTATAATCAAACATCAATTTTATCTTTGTTTAAAAAACTATTTAATATTATGCTCAGGAGTTGATTTCAAATCTTTCTGTTGTAAAAATTGTTTGTATGTAAGATTTTGAAGAGAAAACTTGTGATGTTTTCTTCCACTTTAGACCTTGTATAGTGACCCATTGGTCCTTATATATATTTTGTACTACAAGAATAAGCTTTCAGCATATCTTTGAAGACTCTGTAAATTTTCTCATAATTTAAAGAAATCTTCTCTCAGCAATTCTGGTTCTTATTTGAAGTTCTTACCAATTTTTTTTTTATTGTCTCTCTCAGATTCGAACTCACAATGTGTGCTCTCCAGATGGTGGTTTTGACCGTAAGTAACTCTCTCTCATTTTCAAGATTGTTGCTATGAATTTTCATTTGTGTTTCACTCATAATGACCATGAGCCTTTTTTTCCTTACAAGTAAAGTGTTTTTAGAGCTAAAAACCCTCTGAAGATTACTTAACAAGCTTAGAAAGTGAGTATGACAACATATCGATAGTGAAACTTCTGAAGCAAGTATCTTGGTTCATTTTTCCTTTGAAATCTCCCTATAGAAGCTTATAACTTATAAGTGGGAAATTAGCCCTCTTAGTACTCATCAATTCAAACCTCATTCTAGCCATAACACAGAATCGAACTCTACTTGCTCTTACTTAGATGTCTCCATTTTATGGAAACTGGAATGTTTGCACGGTCAAGAAGTTTTGGTACCCCTGGTATCTAATTTCTCTTGTGTCACCATGCTGGTGACACAAGATAACACAAAACACACACACACACAAAATCTTAGTTTATTGGAATACATCAATCAACTTTTTGTCATTATTCCTGGTTCTAAGGACTTTCGTGCCAAATCAATCAAAATTTAGATGAGACCCAAGAAATTTAAAAATCAATTCGGAGCTATAAAATTGTAAATTTTATAGTTTAAGAGACCCAATGTTAAGGAAAACTTATTTAAAACTTTATTTTCCATCCTTTACGCCCGAAATCGTCTTGAGTTAAACGCAACTTTCCGCACATTATTTCCTCACAAAAATGGACTACATTTTGCTCTTGGGAACTACTATTTCTGGTTCATTTGAAAATCAGCACGCGTGCTATTAGTATCCCCATAAAGAATGAACAAATGGGTACTCACCACAGCTTAATCTTTAGGGTATTGGACAGTGTTACTTACCCAACATTTAAATACACCCTCTACCCCTACTCTTACGACAGTTACCTTTTTTCTTCTTTTTACATCCTACTAGTTGTCACACTAAATATTTGTTTTTCCATTTCAATTTCTAGCACTGGAGGATATATTGAATGACTCCGATATTGATCATCAAGAAGAAATGTTACAGCTCTCCCCGAACGCAGCGCGTTTACCCAGGGTAAGATTTGTGACTAAAACTTAAGCCTGATGTTTCATTACCAATGTTTATTATAAAATAACAATAACAAAGAAAACTTTGTATTTTCATCAGACAAGTTTTTCTGAATAAGACCTCCAGAAGTATAGTTGAGTCTTAGTAAAATCGTCTTAAACCTCACTAAAATTGCCTCAAACCTTGGTAATAATATGATCAGCAGCCTGATTGTTGAAATGTATGTCACAAGAATTGAAAATCGATGTAAGAATTACACTTTACAGATAGGGCTATGTCTTGTCTTGTCTTGCTGACATAGCCTGTTGAAGTTTAAACATTCAGGCTGCAAGAGACTTTTTCTCCTTTCACATATTTCGAGCTTTTAAATTTGAGTTATTGAAAGGAAAAAGTGCTATCAAAAATTAGATTCTTCGTTAAAAAAATAATGGAATTCTGGGTTCATTTTTAAGGAGAGATGTACCGTACAAGTTCTCAAATAGCCTCATCCACTAAGACTTCGAAGAAGTCATTCTTCCCTTTCTTTGAACTAGAAAATTCAGGGCGTTAGAAATAACCTTGAACTTGCAAAGAAATTACCGAGCTTCTAGAAACGTATGAGGTTGAATTATGGTACACATTTCCTCATTAAAATTTCTTGTAGAACACGTTTGTACAACAGAAATATTTGAAAGTAACTCCTAACCAAAATATTGAGAATGCTCAATGCCCAATTCAAACCTTCAGTCCATCATAAAAAACCTAAATCTACTCGAGTTATATCGCCCTAAACTTACCATAAAAGTCTCTGTGGTATGAGCATATGGCATTCTTAATCTCAGCATTTTGGCTTTGCTGTTTCTTGTTGCTTACTTTTTGAAAAGCAAAATTAAGGAGTTGAACTTTAGAAAAAGTACAAACCATAGTTTGAAAGCTAGAACACTGAAGCAGAAAGAACTATAGAACAAAAAAAGTAAGGAAATTTTTCAGCGGGATCCATGTACCTATCTTTTTAAGATCCTTTTTTTCATGACTTTGAAGTAAATTAAATAATCTTTAAAACGATTCATTTCAGGTATCGTTTGAAGCAACCATTTTACGTTTTGAGGAAGCTGAGAATAGGAGGAAAAGCCGCCTTGCTGGCCAGTTGCAACCAGGACCCGTCGTTCCTGACTTGGACCTAAATATTTCACCGCCAAAGATTCCTGTTCCGGAGGAACAAGACATACCAGGACCCGTCGTTCCAGATTTGGACCTAAATATTTCACCGCCAAAGATCCCTGTTCCGGAGGAACAGGACATTCCTCAGGAGCAGGAGCAATATATTCCACAAAGAGAAAGTCCTCTTGCAGAGAGGCCAGTCCCAGTTTATCCCTCCCCTGTTCCGGGCCCTGTTTTACAAGAGCAAATGGAAGTGCCAGAACTGGACGATGCTATTCTATTCGGTGGAGGTGCTGAAACAATCCATCCTCAGAGATTGTCAACACTAGAAAAAGAGGTGGGGTCCAAAAGAAAAGCTTCTGAAACAGAGGGCACAAAAAGAAAACGTGCTCCTGTGGACCGTCTACCAGAAAGACCAGACGAAGTGCCGCAACCAGATATACCCTCAGACGTTCGTGTTTTCACCTCAACAAAACCAGTTCTGAATGAGTTAGATCTCTCTTCATTGAGGCTAGATCCAGCGTCTCCTCGGTACGTCTCATTTGAGGACTTCTTTTGGAAAAGGGTTTATGAGGCTTGCAATGCTGTATAATAGAACTTTTGGATAGGTCACTTGTAATTATAGAACAACATTGCACAACCGTGACAGCATTGGAAGCTTTAAACTCTCTTTCACGGGAGAAATCCTCAATCCCTTTGAAGTCTGCTTTGTACCATTATTCATCTTAAAAAACTGGATGGAACTCAAAGAAATGCCTTCGGGCATCTTCAAGTTGCAGAGTTGTACCTTGAGTTTAACTTGAAAGCACTTCATCATGTTTTACATTTTTCTGAAAGCTCTCCTCGTGCTGATAACATGTATGCAAACTGTGTCTTGTTACAATTCTATAATCTTCAGCAATAAATTTGCAAAAAATTAGATTTTTTGGCACTTGGATTTTTCCACCATCATGTTCCCATGAGTTTTTTGGGGAGCTCAAAATTTTGGGAAATATAATATCGCCTAGTGATCAAATACATCAATTCTGGATAACATTCTTCAGGAGCAGAATTGAACCTGTTTAACAAACTGTCGGTTAAACTGTAGGAACGCTTATCTCAGTTTTCAACATTAGAGACTTTCGACCATTTCTTATATTTCAAATGGAAAAATACCCAGTATTATCTCTTTAAAACTTCCTTGGTTTTCTCTCTATGTATGAAGAATAATCTGTGATAATTTCCAGCAATCGCGCTGACTTGTTCTTCTTTTATGAAATGAAATGAGAGCAAATATTTTAAAATTTTTCTAAGGAGATACACATTCCTGTAGTTACACTGTCACTATACAAACGCCTTTTACTAAGTAGTTACGTCGAAGAATTTAACATCATTTGCCAAGACAAGCACCCAAAATTTGAATTTTTTTTTTTTTTTTTAATAAATAATTAGCCAATTTTTGTGAAGAGTGAAGTATGGTTTGGTCAAATTTAATCATAACAGTCAGTTATCCCCGAACGTTATCACATTTCATTTAAGTTACCGTAATTTTTCCATTGAGTAGATTTCGAGTAGTTAAGTAACTCATTCTCCATTTTCAGTGATCTATACCTCCCTCCTCCCTTCATTACTGCTATTTGACAATTATTTCTTTTTATCGACAGACCGACGAAGCAAATTTTACTTGATTATCTGGAGAATTTGTGGGCTGTGACAGACGCTGGAATTCCTTTCGAAGCCATCTGCAAGCCTGCCCCCGCAGATGCACCCAAGCCTGTGAACAGTTATCCAAAATCAGACGATGTATGTTTGCGATCAGCTGCTGCTCGCACCTTTACAATCTTGATGGGTAAGAAATTTTTCTACACCTAACCTTCCTTCGTGGAAATATTAATTGGGGTATGGCAAACAAGATGTGCAATCCATGGACAGAAAGCGCCTTTGCTGGTGAGAAGAAAATATGATGTACGCTGTAATGTAACTGACAGCTGGATGTCTGCATGTTAACATAGGATCTTTTAATGTATTTGATGAGTGATTATGAATTAAGAGGCTGCAATTAGATGATTAATTTATTTGATGAGTTATTATGAATTAAGAGGCTGCAACTAGATGAATGTGGACAAACTGCAGGAGTGAAGTAAGTTACATGGACTGTAGTAGTATGAAAACCTGTATTGATTGCAGTGTTTCAAAAATTCAATTTCAACTTTTTTTAATAGAATATTACTGGAAATTTCAACATTAAATTTTTAGAGGCTTTATTTATTTATAATTTACAAGTGGTGCCATCTTATCCAACTAAGTATCTATACGTCTGTAAGACCAGGAATTGTCTGAGAATTTTGCAAGGTCTGGAAAATCGGGGAATTTTATGAAAGTGACTGGAAATGTGAAAAATCTTGCAACTTAATATCTGAAAAAACATCAGCACTGTCTACACAATTGAACTGAGTCTCCATTTGATTTTGAACTCGATACTCTGTAGAAGAATAATTTTAAATTAGAAATGGCATATTGGTCGTTTGATTGATTAATACCCAAAAAATAAAGGTTCACATGTGTCCTGTCATTTACTGCGGCGTTACCTCTAAACATATTTCATTTTTAGTTCTGCAACTGTAAAATTGACAGTCTGAAAAGACAGAAAATTTCGATTATTTTGATTCGGAGAAATCTGAAAAAGCCAAGGAATTTTTTTAGGGACAGCTACAAGTTTTCCTGCAAGCTTACTGAGTAATTTTTCTATTTTCCTTTTCAGAAATGCAAAGAGAAAATCTTGTCCACCTAGAGCAAAGCGCTCCGGGCAAAATCATTATTCTCTCTCCTCATCAGTCATAGACCCAAGATTATTTCTTATTTTTCAGTCTGAAGTCTTGCTGAAAATCATAATAAAACTCTATTTTACTCTTTCAAGACAAAAACGTATTTTGTAATTTCAAGACAAATTCTATATGGTTGTCAGAAATCCGTTTTTATAGATAATGTTTTACGATAAATATTATACATTTATCAAATACTTATCTGTTTTAAGGTAACTTTTGCACCCTTCTTAATAATATTGTGTACTTATTTCTGTGTTTCAAATGCTGAAACTGGGTTTTGATTAATTTTTTTATTGTTCATTTTTTTCACTTTTACTACACATGCAAGCATGACAATCTATTTCAACTTCTCCTTCTACTTTTTAAACTTTTTTTAGGAGGGGC